AGGTGAGAAGACAGTTCAGAGAAACTTAAACTGAACTTCACAAGCTTGCAGATTTTACACATATCCCTTCCTTAATCTTGAAACATGCAGAATGTAAGAGTAAAGGAACCTCAGCAGTCAGTTCTGATTTCAAGACTGAAAATTTTTCAAAACCAATGTCACCTCTTCTTGTGCGTTTACATAGCATGTAGGTTATAAACTCCTACTACCCAAAGTCCCAGCGTTGCTCAGAACAATTTGAGTGAAGAGCTGAAGTAGCATTTGGCGAGAGCTGTATCAGCAGTTCTTCCTTGCAGATAGCTGTTCTTATGTCTAGGTTTGGTTTGGGTTTTTTGGGGGGAGTTAGCGGAGGGAAAAAGAGGTACTTGAAAGCAGGGAATGGATGTAGGGAAACAAATGAGAGGAGCTGCTTGAACTGGCACTGATGCCTCAAAAAATTTCTGTGTAATTGCTGCTTGCGAAGAGCCTTGCTTGTAAATCTGTCAGCACCTAGTGAATGTGTTTTTTATAGTACCCAATTTTGAGCCTTCCTCGTTTTCTGTCTTTTTTGATATGTGTAATTCACTGTAAATCTGATGTGGGAGATCTAACTACAGAGTTTCCATTCCTCCTGTTAAACTAAATTATTTCTTGGTTTCTTTCCTGTTTCTTAGAAGGTTTTTAGTTATTTCTTTGTTAAAGACAATCTAGATGGAACAGTCTATACAGTCTCTACTTGTCTGTGGTTTATATTAATAGCAGAATGCTGATGGAAATGATTGAAATATTTGCTCAGCAATTAAAAAACTTTATTAGCTTCAGGGAAATAGATGAATTGAATTTTGCTGGACTGTAACTTTTGTTTGTTTAGTACTTTTCTGAGGTGTTTTAAGATGGCTTACCTGTGCAGAAGGATTTCTGTTTACTGTTTGCAGACGGTTTTAGGTGGAGTGACTTGGATATTTAAAACAAGTCAAGAATCCAAAGTGCTTGGATTCTGCATTGAATGATGGTAACTCCTTAGATAACAGTACAGATGCAGCTAAGGACTGTTGGAAGATCAGCAAGAAACGTTAGAGAACAAGATGGAGTGGTATGAGGGAAGATACCAAATCCCAAGTGGGAGCTCAGCTATAAGGTATTGGTGGATTAAAAAAAAAAAAAGGGAAAAAATGGAGAGAGATGCATGAACCGCTTTGAATTTGAAGTGAACAAAGTTAAAATTGAAGCTAAAATGTTGGTATGCTTTAGTTCTTGTTCTATGTGACAAGTAAGACCATATGGATGTGTAGTGGTATTTTTCAGTTGTATCTAAAAGAGTAAGTTCTGTTCCTCATTATATTGCTGGAGGCTCCAGGACGTATCAAAATGCACTGTAAGCTTAATACATCGTCCTTATATTAAGGGTAGCAAAGCCAAACCACTTTTAGGTGATCTGAGTTTGAGGAATGTCTGATAAAATTCTTCTTTCCATTCTTTTTGGTTTTTGTAATCGTGCTCCACTTGTCCATAGTGCTTTCCAGAAATAAAGTTAGAAAATTATAGTATTTCTAATGTGTCAGTGAAGGCAAGATTTTTTCAAGAATTCTTTATATGAGATGCGGATCATTAACAGCCACATCAAATCATTTGTGCAGTCCACAACACAAAAAGACATTTTTTCTTTCATGGGATTTGTAGCCCATATGGTTTCTGTCTGCTAGGTTTAGAAGTGGTCTGTATGTTGTAAGTTTATTTTTACAATGCATTCTTGACTAAATTTAAATTGGTGTTTCTAGGTCACTGTGACTAACCTGAAGTCTTAGGTGAGAACAAATTTCTTGTTGTTAATTTTCAAATAAATTCAAATGCAAAAAAACCCTTCTGTTAGATCAGATAGGTCTAATCCCGGCTGATGAAGTTGAGTTTTTAAGTGAAACCATGGTACCTTTTATAATAATAAAGCATCATACTGATTTCATTTTGAAGAACATAGGAAACATGAGATGCTAATTCTCAATGGAAGTAACATATTTTCTTTGCTTCTTTGTTTTTATAGGAGTAGTATGAATTCTGTTGGATTTTTTTAGGAAGTTTTTTTTTCTCTAACATAAACATACTGTTTCTTTGTAGGGCGCCAATGCCTCTGCTTTGGAGAAAGAGATTGGTCCTGAACAGTTCCCTGTGAATGAGCATTAACTTGGCTTGGTCAATGTAAGTGAATTTTCTATGGTTGAAATGATGTTTTTTAATTCATATCCTGATTTTGAATTTAACAGGATTTTCTGTTAGAACTTTATCTATGAACGCTTCTAACTTAAATTGGGACTCTGCGTAGACGCCACATCCTGCAATATGGTGCTATGACTTGTTGTTAACCAAGATAAAAATTTCATCTTAAATACAGAAAAATAAGTATATTTATTACAAAGTCTTTGAGAGAAACCTTCCTACTCAGGTACATTTCTAATTATAGGATTTTGATATTTAGCTGGAAAGGACATTAACTAATGAAGTATGTACATTGTTCATATGCTTTTCTTGAGAAGAGAGATTTGATTTTACACTGATGCTGCGGTATATGGGAGCCTTGAGGTTTTAAAATGAAAATGTGTTACTTTTCTAAAAACACAGTACTCGTGGGATTAGTGGAAGTTCTTCTGTGCGAGGACATAGCCAGGAAACGAATGACATTGACTGGGTCAATAATTTTCTTACGTGTAATAATACACCTTTTTTTATTTTTTGACAGCCTTGTGTAACAGTGAATCCTTCTAAAAAGATATATTTTTTTGTGTCAGTTTGTATAGATCTGATTTGACTGGGATCTGTTGGGCAATAAGAACTGTCTACCTAAATTAACCGTGGAGAGAATGGAGCATTGATGTTGATCTGATCTGACTTGACTGGGATCTGTTGGGCAATAAGAATTGTCTACCTAAATTAACTGTGGAGAGAATGGAGCATTGATGTTGATCTTGCCAGTGCTTCTGGAGGAGCAAAGCAGCTGTTGCGCCTGTGACATCTTTTACCAATGAATATAGGAAGTTAGTTAATAGAAACAGTCGTTCTGTGGCATCATATTTATGATGTGAAAATACAATTTTGGCAAAACTCACTAGAAACATAAGTATTCTTCTGTTTGCTGGTCATCTAGGTACATTCGTTGCAAACTGAAAGATGATCTATCTTTTGACACACCAAATAAGGTTGAGATAGCTACTAAAGTGTTATTTGTTGCAGCTCATTACAAACTCATTTAATGGACTTCTGTGTGGGTTTCTAGCAGTTTGTGTTCTCAAGACACCAAACTATCTAAACACGTTGAGTTATATTCCTTAAGTATGGTGTTAATGGCCATTCCAAAGCTGCTGAGGTTTGCACCATAATGAGAAAAATGGAAGGCATCTCCAATTGTAACATAAATAGCAGGGCGATGAATAGCGTGAAGAGGAAAAATAGCATTCTAAAAATAACCAGAATTATTATAACCACATCCATTCTCTGTTTTGAAGGACAAAATATGACTAATACTGTTGTGCTTTATTCCTTGCAACCAGTTTCTTTAGAGATCGTTTTCATCCTGTCGTTCTGCAGAGCTTTTTCCTAAGTTATTTCTAGTTCTTTCATGATCTGAAGTTAATTGGAGCACTTTAAAGAGGGTGGTTTCATGGCTTCAGCATCAATACTAGTAAATGTGTGGTTGCACTGCAAACAGAATCGAGTGTTGAACCCATGGACAGTGGCAGCTTTAAATTTTTTTTTTTAATAGTTATTTTCTCTTTGGATCAGTGAGCTGAACCAGCTTGCCTGCAGTCAAACTATTGCTAAAGCCACTGCAGAGTATATGGGAGAAGGGTCTCGCTGCTCCTTCTGACAGCCTGTTAAAATAGGTTACGCATAATGTTGAACTGAAGTGCAAGAGGATGGAACAATGTTTTCATTCTAGAATTTCATCTCAGTTTTCATTTTAAAAAGCTTCTATCTTAAAGTAAGCCTTCAAACTTTATTTTTACATTGAAAGTGTAAAATTTTACAAGTTCTTATGAAGTTAGTAATGTTGACTCTAAATACAGTCAGTTTTAAGTAAAAAACGCTATGTTTTGGCATCTATTTAAAACATTTCTTTATATCAGAGAAACCATGACAAAAAGATTTTAAAACCTATGTGTTTGTACCTATTTTTCCTTTGTGTTTTAAGTCACATTAGACTTTACACACTATTTGTGTATTTGATCTGTGCATGTAGCTCCAGGTTTGGAAATATTCATCAGCCCATTGAGAACTGCCTTGCCAACCTGTTTTTTGGCGTTCTGTCGAAGACAAATGGTTAGAGCCCTCTTTTCTTTTTTTTCTTCCCCAGGCAGAATTTCTAGCGAAGTTAAGGTCATGATTGGAAAGATCTGACTACTTCGTACTTCTAAATGCAAACCGATTGCAGTTTAGAAGTGTGACACTGCTATGTAATACTGTTTATTTGTGGAGAACTCTCTCTAGTACAGAGAAGGGTAGATCAATAATTGAGATATTCAGAAGTTTCCCAAGGCCCTGAATCGCTCAAAGTTGGAAGGATTTTCTTCTAACATGAAAAAAAGTCAGAATTGCTGAAATAAAATGCATCAGATGGTCTTTTTGTAAAGTACTTGGCATGCAGTAAAATATCTAAAATGCTGACACGCAAGATAGTTTCAGGAATAAAAGTTCTTCCATATTACTTTATGTAAAGGTGGTAGCAAACAAAGAGAGTTGAAATACTATTTAGAAGGACATTTTTAAGTGTCCTAAAGCATGCCATAAAGTGACTTTTTTACTGTATCACGTTGACTACTGCAAAGCATCTTGCATCTTACCGTCAGGAATTTTTAAAGCTATTTGGATGGAAATTTAATTCTTTAACTCCTTTAACTCTTCCATTTAGCTTGGTTCTAATAATTTCTCTCTGTATGGGTAGCATCAAAGCAGGACATGTATAACCAGTTGACTTCATACTTTTTGACATGATTTCTCCAGGAATACAGTCCTGAAATCTCATTAATTACTTGCTCTGTAAACTTTTTTGACTTAAGATGCACCATGACCTTCCCTTTTTTTTTTTTTTTTAAGATGTCTAATTTCTAGTTTCTTCTGTCTCTTAATTTTCTGGGATTATTATAGACAAATATATTAGATACCTCATCTGAAACAATAATATTTAATTAGACTTTTGGTAGTTCTCTTGCCTATTTTGTCTTGTATGCAAATTTAGTTAGCATGATGCTTATTTGTTTTCTTAGGTCACTAACAAGCATATGAGTTAGATTCTATGCTAATTCACATGTTCAGCTTGTGTATTTGTTCTGTTCATGTCAGTAAGTTTTTAACTGTTGTTCCGTGTTGTTTGCATCTAGTATAAATTAATGTTAGTATAACTATAATTCTGTAACCTTTTCAGCTGTACGAATTAAAATGTTAATTTTCTGTTTCAGTCAGCAAACTGATTATTAACTTGAAATCATTCAGCTACAGTAATCACACCAAATTTTGGTGAACAGTAGTGGCCATGTTCTCTGGGTACTACTTAACAAAATAGTCTGTGTTCTGTAGTCAGATTTGTATGCTTGTTTTGTTTATTTAAAGTATTTTGCTCTCGATGCTCAAGATGCAGAATCTGATTACCAGATTACTGGGGACTGGCAAGCCCAGAATTTGTTTCACTTTTTTGAAGCAACAGCGTTGTACAATACAGTTGCACAATAAATTGCAAAGAAACAACTCAAAAAAACCATGGTGTATTTCTTGTGGATGATACGCTAATACCTCAGCGGTCTGAGTGTTTCTTCTTGTTAAGCAATGTGGAACACTGCCTCTGGAAGTTATCGCTGTCCTCCTTTCTCTAAAATAACACTGCCTTCAGATATGGCAGATGTAAAACAGCTGCTCTTTGAATTTGCCTGCATCATGTACTTCTCATAATATTTCATTATAAACAGGAAATATTTAACATATACCTTGCTAACTATCTCTAAAAAGTACTTTGTGTATCTGACACAGGCAAATCTAACATATGAATTAATGCATTGAGAGCAGTGATGCTGATGGATGCTGCCTCTTTGTTTTCTTGTCCCTCTGTTCTGCTGTATCATTGGCACCCCTCCACATCAGTATCAGCAGGATCTCCCCTATCAGGATTAGTAGCGTGCTGTGTCTCCAGAAGTTTTGATTTTGTGAGGAGCCCTCAGTTGGATTTTTTTTCTTGTCAGTGGTTTCCTGCCTTTTTTTTGCGTGTGCCCAGTGTCACTGTGAACTGTTGTCTTCTCTTCCTTTTCTTGCTGTTACCAGTTGTGATGATACAAGGATGAGTCTTTTACACCATGCCTACTAGTATTTCCCCCGTAAATGAACTCTGACAGACAACTTTTCCATTTTCAGTATGTGACATTCTTAATGAGCAACCTCTTTTATTACTTTTTAACAGGCCTAATATGAAAACGTTTGTTTTCCTTTTGTTCTGTTTTAACCAGTTCGGCAATACCTGCTACTGCAACTCAGTCTTACAGGCACTTTATTTTTGTCGTCCATTTCGGGAAAAAGTTTTGGCATACAAAGTGCAGCCTCGAAAGAAGGAAAGCCTCCTGACATGCCTCTCTGATCTCTTCAACAGTATTGCTACGCAAAAGAAGAAGGTGGGAGTCATCCCACCCAAGAAATTTATTTCCCGATTGAGGAAAGAAAATGGTAAATGAATAAATGAAATTTTCATGCAGATTTAAGCATTGGAGATTTAAGCATATAAAACATAAACACAACTTCCTTTTTAAGTGAGTCCAAATTGTCAAGTTTTAACAGATTTCTCGAAGATTTTTGAACTCCTGTTTGTGGTATGAATTTCACCACCTCTGTAGCGTAGCAACAGAGACTGTGTTGTGTCGTAAGAGGATTATCTAGATATCTTTGTTTCTGTGCTTGCTTAGACCAAGTACAGAGCCGTGTACACAAGTCTCAGTGCTCCAGTTACTCCACGTTGGCATCGTGTTCTGTAGAGGTCTGCTGCAAGTCAGCACACTTTGGGTCGTTGCTAGAAATTGGCATGGGCTAAACAGACCTCACGGAGTTGGTCAAAGTTAAAGTCTCTAAGGAAACTTAACCACCCTTAGCCTCCTTTCTTACATTTGCGGAGGATAAATTCCTTATGATGAGAACTAGTGGTTATTTCCCAGGGCTTCTTTGTGAGGAAGAGATCTATATGTTGATATCGTCTCTGCTTGAACTTGAAAAGATAACAAACTTATAGTAGAGGATTTTTGCCCCTTGATGCTGGACTTAATGAACTAATGGCAACACATCTGTATGTCTTTATTTCTCTCCCTCCCCAAAGTAAAAAAAAAAAACCAAAACAACAAAAAAAACCCTAAAAACCAATCATGGTTTTCTTCAGTTCCAAGAAATGCCCAAACTAAGTTTCCTTTGTGTTATTTTTCAGCTGCCTGTTTCTTGCAACCTGAGGAATAGGTGAGGGTAACCTAGCACCCGTTGCGAGAACAACAAAGTACAATTCTTCAAAGACTCTTACCAGTGTAACCCACAATTGTATAATAGGGTAGAGAAGGGGGAAGGGCACACACTAATTGTTAGAAGCATAGTAACTTGATATTACGAAGTATCTGTATTTTTTCATTCTCCTTGATCTCTTCCTTTCCAGAATTATTTGATAATTACATGCAGCAGGATGCACATGAATTCCTAAACTACCTACTTAACACTATTGCTGACTTACTACAAGAAGAGAAAAAGCAGGAGAAGCAGAATGGCAAACTCCAGAATGGCAGCATTGAGAGTGAAGAAGGAGACAAGACTGATCTGACGTGGGTCCATGAAATCTTCCAAGGAACACTAACCAATGAAACCAGATGTCTTAACTGTGAGGCTGTACGTTTAAAACAAAACAAAACCTCTTAGATTTTTCACAGGTTCTGGATCATTTTCCCTAATACTAAGCACACTTTTTCATTTATTAGGATAGATGAAATTGCACTCTCTCTATTAAAATATGGAGCATAGCCTATTTTATGACTGTATCACCTCTATGTTCAAACCAATACTCATTAAGGTATGTTTCTCAGAAAAAGCATAGTGTTTTTTCTGTTCCTCCTCCCTGTTTCCATCGAGGCAGCCTGCACCTGGCTGATATAAGCTGCCTTTTTGTCTTCGTGTTATTTCCTGTGTCAGTGATTGATAGTTTATGTTGTGTTTCTACATGAGAGTTGCTCGCTATTTATTTAACTCTGGGATTATCTGAATTTCTTGAACTGGAAGTCTGTGCTGCTTGGTGCTGGTCCATAGCCACTCTATTTGAGAGCAAAAGAAGTGCACAAAATCTAGAATTAGAAGAACCCCACCACCTTCAGACCAGGAATTTGTAGGTAGCCATGTGCTATGTCTGATTTAGTATTTCTACAAAAATGAAAACCCCGATGGAGAGAGGAAAAAAAGAGAAATTATTACAACTGAAATGGCTGTTCTTGGCATTTTAAATCTAAAATTATGGCTATATGGTGAATAGAAGCTCTAAAAAATGACATTAATAAGATTCTGTCTGAAGAATTTTGAAATTAAATGTGCCTGTTCCACAAATGGAAAGATGGTTTTCCTAACTGCTAACCCATTTAATTGAAAACCCATCTGCCTGTTTCTGCGTTTTCTATAAGGATTTACTGTTAAACTCTGAAATGCAGCAGAAAGCTGTATCTGTCTACGAAGCAGAGTGGAATACGGTTAAAGCTTCTCCAGCTCCGAGAGTTCCGAGTGGTTAAAAACTTGGTTTTGCCAGTGAATTAAGGAGATGTGTCTTGAAGTCTCAAGGGGGAGAAATGTTTTGCAAGAAAGGTTTTGGGGTTTGTTTTTTTGGTGGGTTTTTTTCTGGGTTTGGGCTTTTTTTTTTTATATTCCTCTCTGGATTGTAACAACACATCAGATTATTTCTTCAGTTTTAGTTTACCTCAAGAAAGGGCCTCTGTGTGTGTGTATATTTATTTTTTATCACGAAGGTCTCTATTTGCAATGAGGACATTGCACCATTCCAGAAATGGTTAAAAGAAATCTGCCCGTTCTAAACTGTTATGAAATATTTCTCCTTATTTTTTTCAAGGTTAGTAGCAAAGATGAGGACTTTCTGGATCTATCGGTTGATGTGGAACAAAATACATCAATTACACACTGTCTAAGGTAAATGAAAATATTTGTGAATGGAAAAAATACCTGCCCTTGGTCAGAAGGAAAGAGCCTAGCTTAGCTGCTCTATTGTGCAACAGTTGTAGGCGTTTGACTTACGGTAAAATATGTTCTGTTCAGAGTGCTGTTCATTTTATCTTTATCGTGGCCTTTTGAAGCTGCCACAGGAACCTATCTTAGTGGTTTTTAGTAGTTAATGAGTATGATGATTTCTTAGTGGTATGTAAGATTGATTTTTCACTTTCTTTTATGGGGATTTTAATTTATTGTGACATATAGTCAGGTTTTATCAAAACTAAACATGGTATGTTTGGTTTGCTAATAAACTCTTGTTTATTTTAATATTGTTATTGCATTTCAGTTGTCTGGTCCTGATGTTTGTGGTCAGGTTTGGGGTTTTTTTGCTGACAGAAATTTGCTCCGTGTGTTTGACTGCTAGATCCAAGGCTTATCAGCTGCTAGGATACTGCAAGTTGCATATAGCAGCTGCCTTTTTAATAGCTGATAACGGATATATAATTGCTAGGAGTTGAAAGATTATCCAGACTTTGGCTAGGCAATGGCTAATGGCTATAGGTCTTAACGTTTAAAGTGTGCCACCAAAGAAAACACGGAGTGGCTACTTCTGGAAACAAACCACAATCACCTTACTGCTGTTTATTACCTATCGTGTTTGACTCCTGCCCAGAAAGTATGCAGTTAATGCTTGAGGGTATAATTTCCAGATTTTTCCAGCTGAACATTGATACTACATCCCAAGACTGGGACAAATACGCCTAAAATGTGTTTGGGAGGTACGAGCGATATGAATAAGAGGAATTTCATCTTCTGTGTGTACTCTGGGTTTTTTCAGCATTATTAGCTTATCTGACTTCTCTTTCATTTCCACAGAGGGTTTAGTAATACTGAAACTCTATGCAGTGAATATAAATACTATTGTGAGCAGTGCCGCAGTAAACAGGAAGCACAGAAGAGGTAAGGTTCAAATATTCAGGCTAATGTAAATGTTCTCTTCAAATGGGCAGCTGTTGGAAAAATACACCTTGTGAATTCAGTAAAAGGAAAACGTAAGACTGTGTAGGTCTGTGTTTGGTGGGGAAGGGAGTAAGGAAAAGTAGCGACCAAGTAACTTTGTGGCAGCCTTATCAGAGAGAAATGAAGAGATTAATTTTGTATTCCTCCCAGAAGAACTTCTATCTGGTGCTTCCAGACATTCGCATTTTCCCCAGTTAGCATTAATCAGCTTAAAGCCACTGAAAACCATCCCATCTGCTTTCACTATGAATACTGTATACAAAAATCTTATTTCTCACCTCATACTTCATCACAGCCAGAGCAGCAAGACAGATTTATTCCATCTATTTCTTCCCATTGATGTGAGAAAAAATTGATGTTTTCGACATAGGCAGTTGTCCTGCATTCAGATGTCAGTTGTGTAGTTAATATTTCAGAATAAATATTGCCTATTCTCACTGGAATATACATGAGAAAAGCAGCCTTTTGAAAATCTTCATCAACATTTTAGATGCCTTTTAAGAAGCTTCTTCATATTGAAACTGTTCTTGAACAAAGCTTTGTTTTAGGTGATCTGCTAATACCTTGTTCTTTGTTTAACGTATTTTTGTGGTTCAGAATGAGAGTGAAAAAGTTGCCCATGATTCTAGCTCTGCACTTAAAAAGGTTCAAATACATGGACCAGCTGCATCGATACACCAAACTCTCCTACCGTGTAGTCTTTCCCTTGGAGCTCCGGCTCTTTAACACTTCAGGAGATGCTACAAATCCTGACAGAATGTATGACCTTGTGGCTGTAGTTGTTCACTGCGGCAGGTATGTTGGTTTTGTGCTTTCTGGACCTTAAATGCCTTTTCTTGAAATCTAAAAGGAGTCTGTCATCCGCTTTAACACTCAGGAGATGCTACAAATCCTGACAGAATGTATGACCTTGTGGCTGTAGTTGTTCACTGCGGCAGGTATGTTGGTTTTGTGCTTTCTGGACCTTAAATGCCTTTTCTTGAAATCTAAAAGGAGTCTGTCATCCGTATGCCATTTTATAACAGTACAGTGGCTGACAATATGGGAGCAAGCTAAGCAGCCTCAGAGCTAGTTGTCCGAAAGTATTTTTTTTTAAATTAAAAAAAAAAGTGTTTCAGTTAGTTGTTCACTGCGGCAGGTATGTTGGTTTTGTGCTTTCTGGACCTTAAATGCCTTTTCTTGAAATCTAAAAGGAGTCTGTCATCCGTATGCCATTTTATAACAGTACAGTGGCTGACAATATGGGAGCAAGCTAAGCAGCCTCAGAGCTAGTTGTCCGAAAGTATTTTTTTTTAAATTAAAAAAAAAAGTGTTTCAGTCTTTTTTAAAACAGTAAAAAAGTAGTAAAATTTTGCTTTCTGAGTACACAGGTTTGCTCTTTCATCAGCTTTCAAATATGGCAGCAATTCAGACAAGTTGTTTCTTTGAGCTGTAGCAAAGTAAGAGCAGTCTTTAAAAACAAAAAGACCCCCACCCCCAACCCTACCTTCTAGGAAAAAATAAAAACAAATCTTGGAAAAACACTTACTAAATTAGAATTAAGTTACAGCTCTCATGTCGCTACTTGCTAAACCATTGAAGATTTTTTAGAAGCTGGTGCCACCCCGTGGAATAAACTGTGTACTGCTGATTTGTTAAAATATCCTTATTCTCTCTATTAAATTTTTGTTGTTGTTGTAGTGGTTTTAATTCTGTTTTTAAAAGTAAAGAGGGAAAATTTTTAAGCACTTTTAGGAAAAAAGCAGTCATGGCAGGCAAAAATATATCGCCTTCTATTTATAACCGCCTTCTGGAAGTGTGAGTTTTAAAGTAATAAGTTACTACAGCACACAAATGTTTTGAAACATCTTTGTGAGGAGCAAGACAATATAATCAACACACTAATATTGCATAGATTTAGTATAAATAAACTACATATAATTCTAGGTGATTTCTGTTGTCGTACAGTTGTGCTATTTTTTTATTTATTTTTATCATTTTAAGATCTCATCCTATGCATTTTCTTCTGTAGATTCTTAACTTGCTATACCTATAACTACACTTATATGTTTTAACAATGGGGATTAATAATTCAGGTGTATTAAATGGCTTTGCTTTTTCTTCTCAAACCTGTTGTCTTATATGGGGCTTTTAGGAGTCCTGTGACTTTTCTGGTTTCAATTCTTACTAGGAACTTACCAAAGACTTAAGATAAACTATATTTTCTAAATATTTGAGTTCTCAGAACTTGTTTTAAATATTTTGCCCTTACAGTTTTATTTTCATTTAGTTGCTCTAAACAAAGAAGTTTCATTCTGTGACAGGTTGTGTGTTTACATTTATCAGTAATTCTGCAAGGACTAGAGAAGTACTTTCTTTTGCCTAAAGCTGATAGGAATATAGGTTGTTTTAAAGCCTTATGTAGATGCTAAGTAAAAAGTAAAGCCAGAGGGGGAAAAATTTTTTTTTTTTTTACTGTGTCCCTGGACTGTTCTCTCAGAATTTGAGGTTAGTAGATTGATAGCTCGTAGTTTTCCATCCATATAGTTTATTATCCCAAACCACTACCTTTTCAGGGCAACCTGCCTGCCTTTACTCTGCAGATCCATCTCCCTTTGAGTTAGGTCATTTTGTTGTCCATTCCCTTCAAGGTAAGCATTCAGGATATAGGTGATAGAATCGGACTGGGAAACTGCCACCGGAAAACTGGGAACAGCAGTTGCAGAAAGCCTGTCTGCAGTCAGCCGTAGGCTAAACCACACTAAGGATTAAAGGAATATCTCCTGTGCAAATAAAATATTTCAGACAGATGGTTATTAAAATTTTTGAACAGTGGTCAAAATACTCAGCAGTGGTGAATGCGACAAAACAGTGATTGAAATAACTGGCTTTTAATTTTGTTTTTTGAAATACATGAATGACTAAAATATTTACGAAATTGTGTATTTTGAATATATTGTATTTGGCAAGTAGCAAAGACAGAAATTTTAATTCAAGCAATTTGGCAAAGTCTAAGAACCTACACAACATTATGAGTAGCATTAGACAACATGAAGAGCCGGGAAATCTGACTCTGCCAGTAATAGCTAGAGTCATGTGGGAGAGCAGTGGTCCTGCCTTTGTAGGCACAAGAGTAATAAGTCTTCAATCCTTTTTTCTGGCAGTGGTCCAAATCGTGGACATTATATCACCATTGTGAAGAGCCATGGCTTTTGGTTGCTGTTTGATGATGACATTGTAGAGGTAGGTACGCTTTTACATGGTGAAAACAAGCGTAGACAGCATCACTCTCCGGCTCTGTTTTTATGTCCGGGATTAGCTTTTGCACCTGTGGAAGTATTTCAGCAAAACATGCGCACAGAATAATTCTGGACGTTTTGAAAGTAAACGTCAGCATTTTTGTGCATCTTTGTTACAGAAGTAGTGTGGAGAAGGGCAAACCAACACGAGGGCTGTATGGACACCTCAGACGTGGGGTGGCGTGCACCTGTTCAGGCTGAAATACCACAATTGTCTTACTCAAGATCTGAAATGCTCTTATTTCAGCCCACCTTTTGGGCTCCTTTTTGTTGCTAACTCGCTTTGTGCTAGTTGCATTTCATTGCTGCATTTAAGAACTTCTAACCTTTTTTTGTAGGCAGTTTTCCCCAACAAACTAAAGTGTAGAAAAACTGTGAAAAAAGATTTGGGAGACTGTAGTAAGGTCCTGAGGGTATACCAAGATGTTTGGCCTATTGGCAATAATGTTTAAACAGTCTGCTCAAGCAAATTTTTCCTTAACTTTTCCAGTAACATGTCTGTAAAGACTAATATCCAAAATATTTATATATCCGTGTATTTCACATAATTATTAAGCAAATATCAAACAGTAGAACAAATACCACAGTAGAACTGCTTTTTGTAAAGATGAAAATGTACTGTTTGCCTCCGAGATCTCATGGTCAAGGTTAAGGCCTGACGCTAAGTGTCTAAATAGGCGCAGCAAAATCCTTGCTTGTGTTGATATAAAGAAGATGTAGTACATTCTCCAATTTTTTTTTTAATCTTTGCTTAGCTTTGAGCATCGGGGTGACTTTCTGGTGATTTGGATAGCTTGTATGACTATGAACAGTTGCCTTTCTCCCATTATTGTATTTTGAGGGTTATTTTCCTCTGTTTCTGTCATGGCTGAAGTATGTAATTGTGTCAGCTAATTTTGGAAATAGTGTTCACTTCAATATTTTTAAATGCAAGTATTCATTGTCTTTTCCATCCAGGAGATAAACTTTACATTTTAAAAGTAGATGTAAAATAACCATCTTCTTGTTCTATCTTTGTTTTCTATCAGTCACTTTTATGTTGTATCTTAGTTTTTAGGTCAAAATGGAATTTCTTTTTATCTGCAAACACTGTTGGCACTTTTATAGATGTGCCAAAACATAGCTTTTAAATACGTGCTGTCTGTTATTGGACAATAAATTCAAGGAGCTGTCACAAGTAAGCTAGAATGTAGTGCGCCTCTCCTGGAGGGATGCTTTTTTTTTCCCTTTAAGTTGCTTTTCTAACTTTAATCATGGCTTTCTTTTTTAAGTTCATCTTCTTTTACAGAGTTCATCTAAAATGCTGTAAAAATAAAGCTCTTTGATCTGAAATTTCTACTTTTTGTGTTTTCCATGGTTCTTTGAGTTTTCACTGTCTTGATTAGGATTGGCGATGTAGCCCCGTCCTGTAGCAGTACCTCTACCCCAGCTGCGGATCTGGAAGTTTAAGATTCCTTTTCCTGCTGGAAGACTCTCCCTGGCTGGCGTTTGCATGTGTTACTTGTTTTCTGTGAAATTTAGGCTTTGTTTTTCCTACGGGTGGAGGGCATGAAAAACTGCACGTGCGTTTTGCACATGAGTCATTTGAGATCATTGGCCCTTTCTGATGAACAGTTGCTCCTTGACCTGCTTTGGAGAGTGTAGCACAAGGATTCCTGCTGGGTTTGCCCCAGAGGATCTCTTCACTGACTATCCATTGTAGCTGCTCCTGCCTTCTAAGCGTGTGACGAACACGAAGCTTACATCTCACCTCCCGCTGTCTAGGAAGTACCACCCTTTCTCTTTCCTTGACCTTCTAGAACTCACCTGAATTTCTGGCGATTCAGTGATCAAGGAGAACAGGATAGTGGAGACTGCTCTTCCTCTGCTGATGCTACAGGCTGCTGGAAGAAGTAGCTGCAGTTTTACTCAGCTGTTCTCTCTCTCCCCGCTTTGTCATCAGCTCTTGAGAATTAGTTCCTTACTAGTGCTGTAGGCTATTCGCTGAAAAAGTGAAGTAAAGCCGCAACTCCTTTTGTCAGTTCCATCTGCTGCCTAAAGAAATTTAAATATCTACTCTGAACTTGACCAAGTACTGTTTGCAAACTGCTTGTGATTGGCCTTAAGGCGACATCACAGGAAATATATTGCTATGTATGACGTGTATGACAGAGGTTGTCCTCAAAAACAAAGTGGCAAACACACCCCACCCCCCAAAGCCCCTAAAATGTGAATTCTGCATAAGTGTCTGGTTTTAGGGCTAGCCACAGGAGCCTTCTGCTCTTCAGAAACTCTTAAGAACATGAAAGCAGATTTTTTTCAATTTTTTTTTAAGCTTTGGAGACTTAACAATCTGGGTGTGAACTGGCTACATAACAAAACAGGTATTAGTTTTCAGAAGATGAGGCCAAAGCCATTGTAGCTGTATACAGATATTGCAACTGGAAGAGAACACAGAAGAAAGCTTTTTCCCCTTAAATACGGTTAAAAAGCTTTGCTGCATTTTTGGCAAGTGATACGAATTAATAGCTCTGAACTGTCAATAGGAAGTAGTTTATCCTTATTACCCACTAAATGTCAGAAGTGGTGAAGTCATATTTATTTATCTATTTGGATTTGGTTGGAAGGCCAGCTGTCAATTAAATTGAAGATAGATGATAATCAAACATACTACAGTGTATCTGAAAAGCAACTGCATCAAACCCAGGAGGCAAATCAGTCCAAATGGGGTACCGTGCCAAGCAAAATTAACTGAGAACCTGAGTAAATGATCTCTGGCTAATTTGACATGTTGTCATTAGAGCAGCTAAGTGATACAGCACAGTGACAATGTTTATCTGAAACAGAGAGGGAAAAGTGTCCATCCAGGGAGTTCTCCAAATTGAGAAAAGGGGGAGGATGATTGTATGTCTTCGCTTAAATACTTTTTCAGAGATTTGCAGCATTGAGTTGAATGCTATGAATGGTACACAAGAAGAGGATTTGGTTTGGGGAACCAGAACAGTTGTCTGGAAATGAGCAAAGGATATTTAAGCTCATTAACGGGAAAAATCATCATAATGCCGGGTGAGGCTGCAGAATCCTAAAAGTAGTTGTGAAACCGTCAACTGGTTGTTACTCTAAAGCTGCAACTGGGTAAAATTTTGCTGTCCACAATATAGATGGTCAGCTAAGGGTGGGAAGAATAGAGTCTATATGATCCTTTTTCAGTTCCACTGTGTTTTCTGTGGATAGTGCAATTAAAAAAGGAAGTCAGTTTTGCAGTGATAAAACTAAAAATATCTGTAGGATGAATTAATCTATATCAAATGTTTGAGTTGCATTCAAAATGAGTAGTGGAAATAGACTTGATTGCATGGCAAGTTAGTTGGCACTTAAAATAAAACATGTTTGAGTTGTCTGCTAAATATATTACAAGGGCTGAAGAATGTTCTTTTGCTATTTTTCTGTTAAAATGTGTATCTAACAGTTTCTAGTAGACGTTATGTTAATAAATTGTGTGAAAATGCAAAAGCCCTCAGTACAGTATTTCAGCTTCTCTGAAGCCCTTGAATGGAGAAGAGAGAAAGACAAAACATCCGTTTGGGGTTTTTTTTTTCCCCCTATTTTTTTTTTTTAACAGTGTTTAACAAAACTATTCAAGGGGGAATTTCTGCAGCTCCGTCCTGCAGTTGATGTATCTTCTGGAAACTTACTGACTGTGTCTGTTTTTCTTGTGCTTCAAAATGGCTGGGAAAAGGGTGGCCTAAACTTGCAGGTTGTTTGGCAGTGCCACTCAGAGAAACCAATGCTTTTGTGTTTGTTGGTGATGCTAAAGTCTGTTCGGTGAGCAATGATTTAGCACACTGCCAGAGGGATTCTGTAGCTGAGGAGGCTCCTTGATGGAGTCATAACGTGGTCCCTTTCTCTTAAAATGTAAGCACAAATTGGTCTTCGCTACTCCCTCTCACGATCAAAGCAGGTGTTCCACCCAGAGCCTCCTGTATTCTGAACATTTCTTTTGCTTCCTCAACTTTATTCCTTGGGGAATAAAGGGAAACTTTAGGCTAGTCTCCCTTTGGTCCTCCACAACAAATTCAGGCTACTTCAGCCTCTCATCTCTGTGGATCCAGAGTCCTAAAGGTATTTTAAAATACTAAAACACAGTGGAGTGCTGAGTAATGCAGGTCATTGGGAGTGTTTTATATCAGTGTTTTGGTCTCTATGCTTGCTCTCCGCTGACTGCAGAATCAAATTCAGTAATGTGAAGCCAGTCATTCTCAGGAGCGGGATCAAGACTGTAGAACTTGCACCTTTAAAAGCCCTTTAAAATGCCCTACAGGCCTTGCTGGTTGGAGTATAAAATGAAAAACTGCTTTTCTGCACATAGTTCACAGCTTTAAATAGAGGCAGACCATTTAATTCTATTAATATGGCAAATAATTTATTTCTCTTAAAACACAAACCTTGTGATAATACTCCAGTAGGCATTGTACCAGCAAATCCGAAGGAAGGAAAGCTCTCGTAAGACCAGAAGATCATAATCGGATGAGATCCACTGATTTCATGGTACAATTACCAGTAGCACTTGCAGGACTTCTCTACGTAAGAGGGTCACAAGAACTTTAAAATCTGGAGTTATTTTAGCTGAATGTTAAATGTGCTCAAGATGGTCCTTATGTACTCCTGACTGTACAAAAATCTTCTTTGCTGATCAGTGACTGCTTTTTTTTTTGTTCAGTTTACATTACAAACCTATAGTCAGGAAAGGTAACGCCAGTCTGAATGGGAAAGCAAATGTAAAAATGATGTGCTCTTTTAAGGATACATTTTCATGGATCCCTTTTTTTTTTTTATAGTCCAGCTTAAGAATGCACCACTTCTGACAGGTTTATTATTTCATCTTGATTTCCTTTTTTTTTCAATAGGGAATAAGGTAATAAGTGGAAAAAATGTTTTGTTGTATTTGGTTGGGTTCAATGATATTGAAGTATTGTTGTATTGACACCGCGTGGCTTTCCAGCATCACCCCCAGGAACTGAAAATAATGCCTTGTCTGGGAAAGGGGTTCTTAGGGTGGTGTTTCGACTGAGGCTAATTACAACTCTTATTAATTTTCAGAAAATTGATGCCCAGGCCATTGAAGAATTCTATGGGTTAACATCAGACATTTCCAAAAACTCAGAATCTGGATATATCCTCTTCTACCAGTCAAGAGACTAAGACAAAAGATACATGTATACAAATAAAAGAAAAAAGGGATCAAGATATGTCCAAATGGAACATATTTGTGACAGCAGAAGCAGTTCCTCGTTGTTGCTGTAGGACCAGGACAGATCCAGCAGGGTGAATACAGGTTTCTCCCTGCCATTTTGTGGAGGATTAGTGCTGACTGCCGTAACAAGAAGAGCTTTTGTTCCAGTTTTCTTTCTGGGCTTTTTTTACGTGCTATCTTCCAAAATCTGTGTTACCTCTACTTGAAACCTGGCTGCTTATTTGTTCATGAACTGAAGAAGAGATTTAAAAGTAGCATTGTAGAATTTTTACCATTTAATGTTGGCCTGAGGCTATACCTTGGTTTCTACCATCGTCGTTTTTCTGTATTTTAGCAGAATGATTTCAATATTCAGTGTCAGCTGAAGGCATATTTTAGGATATGAACAGCAGCTGGTTGCTGGATATTTTTGGTGACTCAGACTTGAGAAGCAGTACAAAGCTAAGACATATTGGAAATGTCAAGTCTGTAATTTTTATAAAAAAAACAGACAAAAAAACTCTCTCTGCAGCATTGTAAATTTCCCCATTATGCATTATCTTGGTTTTAGATAACACTAACAGCGCTGCTTCTCTTTATATTTTTATTTTTACTGTTCTGTTTCTTCAGAAGGTATAGAACTTTGTCCATATTCAGGCTAGTCTGTTGTGCGTTTTTCTTTTGAAGCAGAAGTTTTGACTCAAAGCCACATTGCTGCAGGTTTAAGGGGAGCAGAAAAGCAGTTACCTTTGGAGGACTATGTCTGGCAACCAGTCGCTGTAGAAAGTTTGAAGTTACAGCATTTCTTGGAGCTATTGCGTAAACCAAAAGTGCCCTCATTCTGAAACAGGATCTGTTCAACATTTCATTCAATACATAGTAAACTGATGCAACTAGCATTTTGAATCTATGCTAATACACAGAAACAGCACTAATTGTGAAGGGTTAACCGAGGGAAGCATTATTTATGTAACTAATCCAGTTGTTCTTAGTCTTCAAGATAATGAACAAGTAAGAAGGAAAACCAACCAACCAACCCAGACATTACCTTGCTAAGTGTTCCTCATCATCTGTTGGTAATGTTTGTATCGATCTGGGAATCATAACACCCCCCTAAAAATGCTTCTGATTGTTTTACCTCTATAGGCCTTGCTTAACAGGGGAAATTGTTAGTCTTTTGAAGACTGAAATTAAGTAATTATCCGTTACGTGTGTATATATTATAATCTCAAGGATAACTAGAAAGAAAAGGCTAAGGAAGTTTGTAAGAAATCTCAGAAAATCTCCTGTAATTTTCTTTTTGAAAAGTCCTGTTGCCGTGCCAAAGCTTGTCGCAGCTGGCTCTAAACTACCAGTGGAAATGACTATTTTCCTTTCTTCATCTTGTTAGGTGGCACAAGAGCTGTCCTCTGTGTGGTTGCTCCCAGCACAGCCGTTCACGGTATATGCCGGTGATTGTTGTTCTTGGGGACATTTAACTTATGCAATTCTGTGGCTTGTACAGGATATAAAATATTTTACCAAAATATTGTCCTCAGGAAAACAGCATTTCACAAACAGTTTCTTGTGGTGGCTGTATGTATCTGTTTCTTCTTATCATGACCAGAAATGTAATGTTAGCAATTAACTCCTGTCTTCAAAATGCAAATTAATCATTACCATTGTATTCCAACTGGGTACAGGTTCCATTCTCCCGGCACATCTCCTCTTCCAGAAGATAAAATACGGACATTGGGTTTTTTAATTATTTTTTATTATACAGAGTACTGTCATTTTAAGAGACATATTCAATAACAGCAAACGTTTTTGTCATCTCGTTCCTATTGTGTGGAAATTGTTCCTGGCTAAGAGTCTTCTCCCCTTGTTCACACACAAGCTGTGAGTCCTCTCCTGGTGGCGCTACCAGAAGCCTGTCATCACTAAGTCTTGCAAAAAAAAATAAAAAGAGAGCACTGAGTTAAAAATAATCTAAACAGTAAATACAAAAATTAATGTAGTACACTAGACATGTATTTTGTATATCTGGCGATACATTTTTACAAATAAAATACCTGACTGAGAGATAATATTGAAAGATATATACTATAGATTAAAAACTGTTAAAAGTGCACTTTTGCTACAGATTTATAAGGAGACTAAAAGGAATTAAATTGGAAGAGAATGGTGTGATGTTACTTCTGTATAATAAATGACCCCACCCGTCTCCAATAAAGGTCATGTATGATCAAATGCACATGGCCCAAATGCTGTTCCTTGAATTTCAATCCGAGGCAGAAATTAAAGTAGCCGCTTAGTCGCTCGCTCTCCCTAGCTTCTCCCTCCATGCCGGCTGGCTGAGGGATTCCGACCCCGCTGTATTTGCATGCATGTAACCTGCGTATAAGCCGTTTAAACCAAGAGAAATGAGTAATTCGGTGTTACAGATTATAATTGATGTGCTGGTAAACCGAGGAGAGGGTTAAAAAAAAAACCAAACCAAACCAACCCAGGGCCTTTTCCCCTGACACCCATCCCACTGCTGGTATTCCTTGATCTGCTCGTCGTCCCCTGTAGCTCTGCCGTTGCCTCTCCCCGTGATTTCCTTTTTCCTTCCTCTTTCACCCCTTGCCGTTGGACTCCGTAAGACTTTGTTGCAAATACTATCTGACTGATCTGGAACGGAGACATTTAAAGGCAAAAATAGTAGCATAGGCTTGGAGCTTTACAGGGACAGGTCTTCATTTCTGTGGTGTTCTCTGGAGTTCACTTTTCTAAGGGGGAAATTTGATCAAAGGCTGCTCCCGTGAGTAGGAATTCATGGGACTAGGTCAGAACGCAACGGAAGCAGATGAGATTCGAAAATGACAGCTGCTCTGTAAAAACACGTTTTAAATCCAAAATACTGTCTGGTCCTTGGCCTGCTGGGTCACACACGAGCAATAAATAAATGGAGCTAATTTTAACTCTAGCGAACGTGAGTTTGACCTTCAGTCACTTTAGAAAGAGTGTTACCCAGAATTAATTTTGCTGAGGGCAAACAGCCAAAATCAGAACGTCTGAAAGCAGCGTGGGTTTAGCTTTGAGTACCGGTGAGGCAGGACTGATACTAGGATTTGGGGGCTGGTCTTGTCACTTCAGGTCTTCTCCAGAACGCAGCGCTGGAGTGAGGGCGAAGACCATCCCACGGTTGTTATTTGTCTCTGCTAACCAGCAGCAGAAGCAAAATGCGACCGGCGTTGCCATTTCACTTCCAGTTCAGCAGATCCTACAGTTTGTTTGTGGAGAGGCTCTGCCCTAAAGACTCCAGAAGCGGAGGTTGTTTATGAATTAGTGTTTGTGCTTGGCATGTTCTAGTTACCAGCAGGAGCTTTTAAAGTCACCGTGCCAGCTCAGTTTAGGGTATGTTTAAAACAAATCATGTTTGATTGGTACAAGAAAGAAAATAGACTAACAAAGGCCCCTGAGACAAGTAAAACCTTCCCATTGTAGTCCTTGGCATTCATCAAAAGGAAACAATCCCCTGAAACATAATTAATTCTCAACATGTAAAGTCCTGCTAGGATTTGCTGCTGTTGCGCTAATTAACCTTCGGGCTACTTCTGTCTGCTTCCCTCCCGCTCCTGCAAAATCAGTCCTATCTACAGAATTTGCTTCCACCTACCCAGCCAGCCTGCTTTGTTTGGTTCCTGAAAGCAGCAGCCGACTGGGATTAGATGTCTGTAAGTGATAGTTCGGAGAACGTAAGGTTAAAGACGAAGCCGTATCGGTGGGCTAGCGTGAGGGTCATCTTGGCCTTTTATTCTGAAGGCAGTGCTTTGCAGAGGAAAATGGTTTGATCCTTTCTAGCACCTGGCTGCTCGTTTTAACTAACTCCCCTTCGTGTCAGCGTGCGTTCGGAGGGGATGCGTGCTGGCTCTGTCGCATCTGGGAAGCTGCTTTCGTGTTAAAGCAGAACCGAGCGGCCCAAGGCCAGGGCGAGGATCTCGCTGCTGGAGGCTGTGCCTACAACAGTCTGCAGCAGCGTTAGGCCTGGTGGCGTGGGCTGGAGAGCATCGTCGGTCCCTGGGCAGCCTGAGCTCCTGCCTCCCTGATCGGGCTGTTGCTCGTGTGAGCCTGTCGCCGCGCGTGCAACGTTTCTGCGCTGCCCCTGGCAGGAGAGAGAAAGCCCTGAAAGGGAAGGACGAATTACGCAGTGGCAGCGTGTTGTTTGGGTTGCTAACGACGAGCACGTTCAGCGGTTGTCAGTTGTTTTAAAAGCTTCTTAATGCAAATGACAAATACAAACCGCTGCGGTGGTTATCAGCACTTCAGCAATGTACTTAATTGTTTTCCCCCTTCGTCTTTATCAGAAACAGTACAATCTTCTGGATTTTTGTCCAGAAACTACTAAAAACTGCGTAGAGATTATGAAAATCTGACTTCAGGACCTTGTTGTAGGAGAATTGGTTACCTCCTGCAAAGCTTTTTCTTGAAAAGAAAGCGTAACGAGATCAGCTAGGCCTGGAGAGGTGGACCGTGACATCTGAGGAGGTGAGAGATGGCCAGCGCCGCTTCCTGCTGCGGTCCCCGAAAGGAAGGGGGTGACGGGGGGAGCAGCAGAATTGCTGAATGCCGTTCAGAGGCTGGTGCGTTAGCTGCCTCCCAAAGGAGATGAATGAAGAGTGAGCTGCCAGGGGACTCCGGTGAGGGAGAGCATGAGGCTGCTGCGCTGCCTTGATGTGGAACGTGCCGATTCTGCATGAGAACGAAGAGTCTCCAGCAGCTGTGGTCGGTAACTCGTCCCGTCGTCAGGGCACCTCGTGCCATGCCAGGATACGTTTGTCTGGGGAAGTGGATCTGGGACACGGGAGATGATGGGTGTAGGAGCAGATGCTTTCTGAGACCCACGTGGTGTGATGGGGACTGGACCCATGAGCCAGTGTCAGCTTGGATGGGGAGTGAAGCACAGGGGCCTTGAAATAGAGGGTAGCTTAGAAACCCCGAGAGGAGGAGTTGGACCTGAAGGGCAAAGCTAAGAAAGGATTTACGAAGGCCTTAAAATATCAGAGCCCCCAAAGTATTACTCTAGATACGTTGGCCCAGATTTATTGAGGGCAAAATGCTTTTGATGCCATGCTGCTGAGAAACGTCGTCTGCACCTGGATCCAGCCCCAGGGAGCTGCACCAAAGCCGGGGCGTGCAGTGGACGCACACATCACACTGCAATTTGTGTAAAAAAAAAAAAATCAGATAGTCCCAGCTGGGTCTTCCCTGGTGATTTCCGAGTCACAGGCAGTGTACAAGAGAAAGCCTGCAAAGGAAGGGGAGAAGGGCAAGGCTGGGGCCTGAGCTGCGTTTGGAGTTGGGAACGTCCCCAGATCTACCCAGAGTTCATTTCTTTTTCAAGATGGTTTTTATCTGGAGCGTAGCTGCTTTAGCAAAATATATTGTGTGAGGAATATAGAGGTGGAAAGAGACATTTTCTTGGCTTTAAGGCCTGGACTTAGAAGGGACGAGCTAACAGGAGCTCCAGCTGGCCAGCTAGAGTGAACCTCAGACTGCTGCTCACCACCAGACCGTGGCCATGGATGAAGATAAGGTCAAGTGGGGCTGAAGCTACTTCTTCTGTCCACCCCTAGGTATAGACGCAAAAGCAAATAGCAGGTGGTTTTCAGCAGGGGCGGAATAACTTGGACTGTAATTAAGTATCCTAATTAGCACTCCGTTAGCGCCTTTGTTACCTTCCGGGGAGGAGCAGCCTGCATCTACTGCAACAAGTCACTGCAGCGCTGTAAAGCAGAAAGCAGGGACTGTGCCGTGAAGAAACAGAGGGAGGGGAGGGAAGGGGTGGCCCGAAGGAAGGGAAACCGCATCTGGAAGCTCTGCTGTGCGGGGCCGCCTGTGCCCAGAGGCAGTTGGGAGCAGAGGGTTGGTATCTCGGAGGTCTTTGTGTGATAGACCCCGCTGAAAGCCAGCAGGAAAGATGTATTCAGTCGAACCTCGCGTCAGTGTCAGCGCAGATTTCAGACCTTGCAAGACCTCCTTGTCTTGGTTCATTTGCAGCCCCTACAATTTGGGTTTCTTGTTCCTTTTTCTCTCAGCGATGGGCAATTTGAAATACGCTCGATAATTTGAAAGCAGCAGGTCTGCAGCCCTGTCTTTGCAGGTCGCGGGGACTCCGCGTGTTCGGGGGGCTGTTGCAGGTGGAAAGTCTCATCTCAGCAGCACATCTCTGCAGCATGGATGGGCCCTCAGCAACGAAACCCGTGTGCCTGTAATTGGGGCACCATCACGTTGCCATGTGTTCTTTCAAGTCCGAGCCACACCTGTAGGTCCCCCTTCCCCGTCACCTGGAGAAGCCAAGATAAAATACATCAGTGCCTGAAGATTGCTCCGTTACGAAATTCCTCCGGGTCCCTTTGCTTCCACGCTCATGCCGGCAAACCCCCAGGTCCTCCCCGGCAAGGGCGCAACGAATTGCATCACGTGGTAGTCATGGGGAAAAAGTGTTATTCTTGGCAATCCCTTCCAAGTTCCCTTTTTTTTTTTTTAACGTTAAACTGTTCATTTTCAGATTTTGACTCACAATATTTCTCCAAGCGAAAGGCCACGAGTTTGGAAAAAATCCAGTTTATTCCTTCAAAATTCTTTGCCGTCATTTTAGCATGAAAGAGCCAAACCACGCTGGTACCTGCTGCCGACGCGGATGGAGGAACGGCCCCAACACCTCCGTGCCCCTGCACCGAGGGCGCTCGCTGGCACCCTTCAAAGCCTCCCTCCAGGCGCTTGGGGTGTCCCCTGAAACGTGGGGACAAGTGCAGGGTAGTGAGGATCAGAGAGCGAGTCTTCAGGCCGGGAAGGGGCATTAAAGGATGTGTGAAGCCACCGGACAGAGCAAAATGGAAATATTTTCATTAACTGAACCCGAAGGTGCAGTTAGGCAAAGAGTTGAATGGAGATTTTACCCTTATTTGCCTGGTTTCTCATGGCTGGTATAAAACCAAAGATAAACCTGGGTTTGAATTTTTGGGACCTCTCAGTTTCTTTAGCCTCAGGCCCGGCAGAAAGGCCACGCTTTGGTTTTGCCAGAGTTTCCCATTCGTCCCCCAACAGGAGGAGGTTACTGGATTTAGGAAAACCAGTTTCTCCCCGCTGTTTCTCCACAGTTTGAGCCAAGTGCTTCAACAGCAATGACTCGGGGACAGACGGATTCCCGTGAGAGCTGGCAACTGCATTATCTTCTTCTAAAAATATTTTCCAACAAAAC